CCTAAATAATCCTAGTATCTCACAAACAAAATCGATTAAGCCCTCTCTCTCGCTCTCCCTCTGTGATGAGAACGACAGAACGAACTCACGAAGAACGGTGGCGTGAATGATTGAATCATTATCGAACGATGTCGACGTGTGAACATGAACGACGAACGCACAACGCAATAGGCAATCAATTTGTTGCGATCCAACCCACGAACACACGAACCCGCAAACCTGTAAACCCGTATAAATAAGTGGGTGACGGGTCACATATGTGTTTATGTTCCAAACCTGCCAACCCGTGACTTGTATAGTTAAATGGGTCATGTTCAGGTTAGTATATTTTGACCTGCCAACCCGCGAGCCGCTAAGCCGAACACAATACGATTGCTAGGCCTACCTATCAAGTCTATCGGATTCTTTTATAACATTTGACTCTCACACTCGTTCAACCGTATTTCTAAAGCTATATATTTATCCATCATAGTATTTAAACCCCCAACCACTTGAATATTGACACATTTCCAATACACTTATATAGGCTATGTTCTAAGCCAAAAGAACTTTAGTTCTTTTTCTCGTATTTAGATGATAACGCATGCATTTATTGTTTAAAGCATTAACTCCAATCATGCCTTGTGGCGTAATCATTATGTATGTAGTATTTACCTCTCCCTGTATATATAGGAAACTTCATTCAACTCGTGTAACAAGAAGATTATTATGCATCCTCGCCTTTTCTTTCTGAGTGCTTTCAGCTTCTACTTATTGTCAACATGTTCATATATAACAAGAGCTCAAAAATCGTCGATTGCCACTACAGGGGTAAACTTGACTTTTATTCAGAAACATGTATGTACATCTACTTATAATTTGCAAATAAGTCTCAAGTTAAATAAATTTCACTTGGGCTTTATATTTTATATCTACCAAATTTATAGTTTGCTAGCTCTTTTTTGTGAATGGGTGGCTTGATCGGCTTTCTTAGTTGCTTAAAACTTAACAGTTAACAACAATCGTCTTATATGCTTTGACTTTTCTGATAGAAACCAGTTGTCAGGTTACCTATACTATATATGGGTATATCCGAAAATGACAAAACCATATAAAACAAGCTCGGTTCACATCTTTTTTCACGAACAACAATTTGTTTTTTATTTTTTTTAATTAACCGACGACTAGGCTAGGAAAAAGTAAAATAACAAAGTTCAAACATTACTCCAAATGATTACAATTTGATTCAATTCAAAATCAAGCTACATTTCTATTGGCTCACGTTTGTTTTATATATCATTTTTTTAGTTAAAACTCATCTAGTTACTAATCGTATGGAACAGTTTGTTAATACTTATTTATTAAAAGAATACCGTAATTGATTTGATAAGTGTACCTATTGAATTGAAAATCATACATACTTCTGTTATTATTGTTAGTGGTTGCATGTGGATAATTTATTGAAGGGTTAAATATAAAAACAACCACATCGTTTACTTTTTTGTTTTTCAATTTCCTTTTGGTGACATGGCAGTGCCATTTCATTAAAACCACGCTTATTTTTGAATTCTGCAGTTTATCTTGAAAAGCTAGCTAATTAACATTATTTTCAAGTAATATATTACTGATTCTTTTTAATTATTTATTTGATCATTTTCATATATATATATATATATATATATAATATATATAATATATATATAGATATATATATATATATATATGGAAAAATTCAATATAGAACCATAATTATTGGTTCTTCAAAGAACCAAATTTTTTTTTCAATTTCTAGAGCTTATTTTTTATCGAAAAAAAAATCTAAAAATATCTAAATTCATATATTAACATTGTGAATGTGAAAAATAATTTTCGGATTCACCGTATGAATCCGGATTCACGTTGTGAATTTTCAAAGATTCACATTGTGAATTTGACGTAAAAAAAAAAAATCGAATTTGATATCATTGGAAAAAAGATAAAAAGTTATGAATTTCTGTATTTTTAGTTTTTTTTTGGATAAAAAATAAGTTGTAAAAGTTGAAAAAAAGATTGGTTCTTTGGTTAATTATGGTTCTCTATTGAACCTTACCCTATATATATATATATATATATATATATATATATATATATATATATATATATTATATATATATATATATTATAGAAAATTCTTATTTTTTATATTAATGATATATAGAGTAAATCATAAATCATTCACATGGTTTTAGGTAACATTTAAGTTTCATCTCTATCATCTTTTCAATATATCGGGACCTTCCTTATAGTATTTTTTTTTACAACTTTCGTCCATTCCAGATTTAAAATAATTATTATATCTTTACTATTTTTTTTTAACGTTTTAATATGTTGATTTTATTTTTTAAACCCACACCCACCACCTTCACCTATGAGTGTGTAGAAGGGATCCGAAGGGGCGAAGCTATTATGTAGCCTGGGTTACCCTTCAAATTTTCTCGTCTTAGTGATTGTTTTCGGAAATCCGTCACAGATCATTTGATCAGTCGGCAATTCATCACAAAGTCTGACTATTGTGAATTTATTGTAAATCCGTCGGTTTAGTGACGATCTTGTGATGAAAACTTCATTTGGAAATGAGTTTTTTCCTAGTCGTGTGCAACCCCTGATTGTGCAACCCCTGATTTCTTTCTGGATCCGCCACTGTCGGAAGGAATGTAGGGAAAGGGACCTAGCATGTGGTAAAGTTAAGGAACAACCCCCCCCCCCCCCCCTTCTTTCCTGTCTAGTTTACCATATTTAGAACCCTAATGTGAGAGAGAGAGAGAGAGTCCATATACATGATGCAAATCAATGAATTCATATAGATCATCCATGTGAATCCATATAATAGTGAATATGAATCCATTTCAATATAAAAATAATTATGTTTCATGTTTCAATTATCTTTATGTAAGTTCTATATATGTAGTTTTAATAAAATATTCTTTTAATTGTATTAGTAAAATATTTCTATTTAATAAACTAATTTTTTTTTCAACTTAAAAATAAAAATAAAATTATGAGGAGGAGAGAGACTATTTCCCTGTTAATAAGTATGGTACAAAAAAGAGTATTTGAAATGTTTGGTGCTGACGTGGTAGGCAAACCATATTTTATAGCCTTATTAAACGACTTCTTAGTTCCTTCTTTCTTTCTTTCTTTCCTTCTCTTCTCACTATCTTACATCTAACCCATCTTCTACTAAACAAAGCCGGAAAGCTTAAATCTTAAAGGGTCCATCGTCCTATTTTTGTCTTCAAGTGCAAAGGGTTATATGAAAGTCCATCTCTATTTTTAAGTGAGGCAATCCCATCTCAAACCTTAAATATCTACCTTACATTTCTGATTAGCACGTGTCTTGAAAATTTAAATATTCTTAAATGTTCAGGTCGAGTCAGAAAAAAAAAGACCACATTGCTATTGTAAGATATATATATATATATATATATATATATATATATATATATATATATATATATATATATATTTTGAGTCTTATACAACTGCTTATTTTGTCCCCTGAACCTCATGTCTATGATGCAATTGGATCTATGATGGAGGTAAAAATGTAAATTTCACTTATGCAAGAAGGCATTTGGATCTCACATGTTATGAGAAAACAATATCTTTTTATTTTTCCAATTTATTTATTAACTTATTAATTATTTACAAGTTATTATTGAAATTATTAGTATTTACATGTAATAATTTTAACTAAATTTCATATTATTTCCTTACAAAATAAATTTGACATATCTTAAAATATATAGGCACTCTAAAATATAGACATACAAATTAATGTTGTAAAAAATTTCCTCAATGAAGGGAGCCTCTAGCTAAAGTATGAAATTTCATATAAGAGCTTTAAAGTTCAAATCCTACACATCTAAAATATCGTTGATGCTTCACGTTTTAGCTCCCACTTGATAAGTCTAGGGTAAGTTTGATGTGTGCCGCCTAAATGATTCGATTTACTTTTTTATAAATTAAATTAAATTTTAATATTTGTTATATTTATCATAATAATTTTTAATGCTTGAAATATTATATATTCATGCTAAAATTTTATTAAATAATTGAATTATAAATAGCCAGATAATTGTTATATATAAAATCTTTGTTCATATGGCACTCGATACCATGTTTTAGAGAGGTTGGTATTCCCTCGTAAGTATAATCTAAAAAAGTGCTGTCATATAATTGGAAGATCAATATAATGCACCATGGATGGTTTAAGATTAAAGGATTTATTTTCATTGATTGGTTCATAATAATGTTATGTTTTGTTTTTTTTATTCTAATATATTTTAGAAATAATATTCAAGTATAAAGTATACAGTATAAGAAATAAATAAAAATGTGATATTGTGATAAAAAAAATATAGAATAATAAAGAATTATCAATATATAATGTAAAAGAAATGTATTATTTTAAATAAAAATAAATAGAAATTTCATGTTTTATGTATTTATTTATATACGTTCAATTAAATACAAATATAAGAAAAAAATAACATATAAAAAAAGTTTTTAAAAAAATATCACAATGTTTCTTTTAATATATTATCGGTAATTGTGTACAAAATAAAGGTAGATGATCAAATTTGTACAATAACCATAATTTGTTGCTATAAAGTCATTATTTTACCGGAAAAGCCCCTGGAAACTAAAACCGGATAAACCATCAATTTCCGGTCAAAATGATAGATTTTAAACACTATATATATTACTTTTAAATGATATGTTCCATAAAGTCATTATCCACGGGCACCAAGTAGTTATCCTATTTTATTAAACATCTTTGTATGTCCCGTGAAGGATAAACTATCCACGAGCACCAAGTAGTTGGAAATTATCATCTTCTCGATTGTAATTTTCAAAGAAAATCAATATATATATATATATATATATATATTATATATATATATATATCTATATATATATATATATATATATATATTTTAAATTTTGATGTAAAAAAACGTGTTTTATTGTAGGTGGTAATGAGTAATGGCATAGTCCAAGTCACGCTTCAAAATCCAGAAGGTCATATCACCCGCATAAAATACAAGGGAATCGACAATTTGCTGGAAGTTCAGAAAAATGAATCTAGTCGAGGGTAAAAATATCATTTCATTGTTCGTTTATTTAAACTTCAAAGGTTCATGACATAAGTGATTTAGGCTTACTTATAATATGTTTTGGATGGTGAATATTAGGTATTGGGATGTTGTTTGGAGTCCTCCAGGAAGTACAAGAACCGAAGGTACCTTGGAAAGGTAATCTGATATGTATATTGTCTTTCGAGAAATTTAGTTTTGATTGCGAGATGTTGATTATTATGTTATAATTATACAGTGTCACAGGAACAATTTGTAAAGTTATAAAAGAAACCCAAGATCAAGTAGAAGTCTCATTTTCGAGAACATGGAATTTTTCCCTCAAGGGAAAATCCGTCCCTCTCAAAATCGACAAAAGGTTCTCGTTAATTACACTGGTAACATAACTTTAAGTATCCAAAATTCATAATTATGAGTACTGAACACAATGTGATGTATTATTGTCAGGTATATTATGCTCCGTGGGTCATCCGGCTTCTATACTTATGCAATTTTTGAACATGTGAAAGGATGGCCAAGTTTTGATCTTGAGGCCACTAGAGTTGCTTTCAAGCTCAGGAGAGATAAGTAATTATTAACCACATTAATTCCTAAAGATTACTGAATTTTAGATCGAAATGAAACCATTTTTTATCTAGATTATGATGACATGACATTTGTTGCTTAGATTTCATTATATGGCCATGTCGGACGATGACCGACAAAGGGACATGCCTTTGCCAGAAGACCGATTGCCTGAAAGGAGTAAGACATTAGACTATCCGGAGGCAGTTCTCCTTGTTGACCCATTGGAGCCTAAGTTCAAAGGACAGGTAAAGAAAATTGTCACGAATTTCACTATATGCATGTATAGTACTGTGGAAGTTTATACATATATAATGCATGCAGGTAGATGATAAATATCAATACACTTGTGAATTAAAGGATCTTCGTGTCCATGGATGGATTTGTACGAATCCTGCTGTAGGATTTTGGCAAATTACACCAAGTAATGAGTTTAGGGTAGGTGGTCCGATTAAACAGGAGCTAACTTCTCATGTTGGACCTACAACTCTTTCGGTAAGTCTTCATAATAAATATTTTATGTAAAAACATCATATACTCAATTAGTTCTTTTACATGCTTCATAATATATAAGCAATGTGATCATACATGTATACATGACTTATATAGATTTTTTCAAGTGCTCATTATGGCGGAAACGATATGGTGATCAAATTTGAGGAAACTGAGTCGTGGAAGAAAGTGTTAGGCCCGATTTTTATATATCTCAATACTATTCCTGATGGAAAAAACCCTTATACTCTTTGGAATGATGCGAAACACCAGGTTTAGTTTATTACATTTAGAAACTAACCATATATATAACATGTTCTTTCATTTTATCAAATTATTCTTAATCCAACTTGTTGATTAATTTTCAGATGTCCATTGAAGTCGATCGATGGCCATATGACTTTCCTGCTTCACCTGACTTCCAATCTGCTCGCCAACGAGGCGCAGTTAAGGGTAGATTACTTGTCCAAGATAGGTAAATTAAGTCCTCCTAGATAGTGATCAATTTTACACTATACACATACATTATTAATTAGTTAATTTTACATTTGTGTATATGTAGCTTGACTAAGAGCCATGGTTACATATCAGCAAACGACGCTTACATTGGCCTAGCACCACCAGGAGATGTGGGATCATGGCAAAGAGAAACCAAGGTGAATCCCACAATGCAAATAAATATACATATCAATATTTATTTTTTTACTTTTCATATTAATTTAATAAAAGTTCAATACTACTTACTTGAATTGCTTTATTTACCAGCAATACCAATTTTGGACCAAAACGAATAAGGAAGGTTATTTTACCATAAAGAACATCATCGCCGGCGAATACAATCTATACGCTTGGGTCCCGGGATTTATTGGCGATTATAAAAATTCTAAGATCATCAATATTACTCCAGGTCGTATATAGCTATTGAAACTTAATTATTAGCCAAATTAACTTCTTCCCTTTTGAAACCTTTATATATATATATATATATATATATATATATATATATATATATATATATATATATATATATATATATATATATAATTAACATAAACAATAACTTAACAACAGGTGTTAAAATAAACATGGGTGAACTTGTATATCATCCTCCGAGATATGGTCCGACTTTATGGGCTATCGGCTTTCCTGACCGCACAGCAGCTGAATTTCACATCCCTGATCCTCAACCGAAATATGCCAACAATTTTTTCTCCAAGGTCCTAATAGGTTCGTATAAATCATGTACTAATTCATATGTACATATATATATATATATATATATATATATATATATATATATATATATATATATAATATATATATATATATCGATTGAACAGGTTCAGACAGTACGGATTATGGAGCAGATATTCAGAGTTGTATCCAAATCAAGATTTGGTATACACAATTGGAGAGAGTAATTCTAGAAAAGATTTCTTTTTTGCCCATGTTCTTAGGTATGTTACAATAGAGTTTACACTATTATTATTTATATGGTGTTGGTGGTGATTAATATATAGATAACTTTGGTAAATCTATAGCCATGTTTCATTAAGTATAAGATATGTCAATTGCTTATAACTTCACTATTCTCTTTGGAATTTTGAAGGGAAGCCGATGATGGAACTTACAAGAGGACAACATGGACAATCAAGTTTCGTCTTGACCATGTGAATGAGAGCGGAACATATGTACTCCGATTAGCTCTTGCTTCCGCACATCAGTCTAACTTGTTGGTACTTAATTGGTCATTAAAATTTATTCATATGCAAAATATTGTATATTATATATAATAAATTAAATTCTAATTTTTTAGGTACGTATTAACGATCTGAACAATGATCCGCTCTTTTCAACTGGATTCATTGGGGGAGACAATGCAATTGCAAGGCACGGAATACACGGCTTGTATTGGTTATTCAGTATCAAAATACCTGGCTCCCATCTATACTCACATGGACTGAATTCTATCTACTTAACTCAAGCCAGCAATAAGACTCATTTTCAAGGGGTAATGTATGACTATATCCGTTTAGAAGGTCCTAGGAGTTCCATTGTTAACAAAATCTCTTAATGTGAAAAGCAATACATTGTATACATCCTAAATAAAAATATCATGGCATTACTTATCAATCATATATAATATATCATTAACATTATAAAGGAATTAGTTATGCATTTTAATATTTCACATCCAATGAATTTATTTGACACTTCTTTTTCTCTTGTCGCAAATTTAATAGTGGTACCAGTGGTTAATGTTGTTCTAAAAAGCCTTGTAGTTAATGTTTTACCGATTACACCATTTTGAATTTATGGATTAGTGTTGCACCTGAAGTCCCACAATGTAACACTAGTGTATAAAATAAAAGTTAATACAAGTTACTATGTAACATTATAACGAATTCAGATACATACATGACGTGTTTCTTGTTCATTAGCATCATTTCCTCGATTATAAAAACTTCATCACCCGTCACATGGTTCACAACACTGCTAGAAAATAGGGAAATAGACACAAACTAATTTGTGTGTGATAGTATAATTAAGCAACAGATGCTAACTTGTCGTATAAAATGGGATGTCAAAACTTTAGCGACTATTTAGTGAAAGTTCTTTTCATATTAAACAATGGACTAAACTAGCGATAATCCTACTTCTAAACAAACCAAATATCTACAAATTTGCCACGGATTGGCGACTGATTTTAGAGACAAAATTGTGACCGGTTTGTTTTAGTGGTAGATTGTTACGAACTCTTTTATAATGGATACTAGGTTACAACCCGTGGGAACCACGGGTAAAAGATTTATAAAACATATTTATCATTAATAATATTTAAGTTTTTTTTTTAAATTTGTATTGATTATATATATATATATATATATATATATATATATATTATATATATATATAGGTTATTGTGTTTTTGATAACTATTGTGTGCATGTGTGGTTGATTGTGGACCAATCATTTTAGTTATTTTAGGTAAGTGATTAATAAATATTATTAAATTCAAGATAAAACAAAAATACCATCTAAATTCATTATAAGGGTATTTTAGTCAATTAAGACAAATTTAAAAAAGGAAAATTCGAGATTTAGGGGATAATCAATGCTCTTGATTTAAAAAATCTGATTATTTTTTTTAATTAATTCAATTTCAAACGTAATTTGTAATCATAAACCGATTTTATTCTATCAGAATGTTATTTTATTAGAATGATTTCTGTGATTCTGTCAAAATGGTATTCTATTAGAATATTATTAAAAAATCATTTTTTTGAACCTCCAGTTGAATAATAACAACATTCTTATATCTATTCATAGACGTCCGAACTTAAATACAAATTCATACATATTCTTACAGACTAATAGGCTTAAATATTTTAATATAATTATTAATATTCTAAAAGGATATCAAAAAAATTGAATAAAATTCTTAAAAAAATACAACATTCTTAAACTGTGAGTGTGATCAACCTTTTATTCATTCTTAGAATTTTCCTATCAGGTCTTCAACTCATTCTTCCAGCCATTCTTATCACAAATACAACAAAAACTAAGAATGATTAAAAGCATGTTACTTGCAATTTCTATCAATTTATATATTCTGGCAGAATACATAGAATATGACAGAATACATATAATACATTTTGACAGAATACATATAATACATTTTGCTATTTATAGCTTTAGTTGCCACTATAAAGATTATATTTTCGTAGAATACACTCTCGTTGTACATGTTTTCTTCCTTTTCCACATCAATGACAGCATCTTCAAAACCTAAATCCACAATAACAACATAATCAACTTTCAAACAATAAAAAAATTTGTCCATTCTAAGAGAATAAAAACTATAAATTCTGACAGAATGTAGTACTCATTAAAGAATAATAATTTATTCTAATAGAATGTAATCCTAAAACTGCAATGAAAAAAAAAATGGGTCTTATATGCATTTCATCGAACATTTAGAGGACATAAAAAATATGCAAAATCTCAAGAAATACATATAATTATGAATAATTGATTGGGGATAACATCAGACGTCAATTTAGAAGTTTGGAAAGAACCATTCCCATGTTGTTTTCCAACGAAATATCACCAAGGTTTTGATCTGGAGGGACTTGCTCCATGGATTTCAATATAAGCTTATCCAGATGATATTCTTGAAGGACCAAACAACATCCATGTTCATCAAAGATATACATCAATAATTCACAGAATGAAACTAAAACCATCATGTGACAACCTGAAAAATCCTAGAGCAAACTAGGTCTAAACTCCAACTATGAATCTGTTATTTCAAGTCAATGTAATTAGAGGCAATAGAGATACGACTTTCATGAGCCATACTTAGGGGTGTTAATTAAGTATGTGTGGTATTTACCCATGTTAGTTTAAATTATAATAAGCCAATACAAGTTTACAAGACACAAAGAATTCAAAGGAGTCAATATTAATTCAAGAAATATGTATATGTGCATAGGATGGTATAATACTTAACTTAAAAAACATAAAATATGGCATGTATATATAGAATTCGGTTTTGGGAATCTTTTCCCAAAAAAAAACCGAATTCACCCTTAATAATGAAGCTAGGACCGAATTTACATCAAGGATTAAGCAAGGACCAAATTTACAATCTTCTAGAAAGCTAAAACCGAATTTAGTTCTCTCCTTGACCCAAAACTGAATTCTTTCTTCTTCTTTGACCTTAAGACTGATTTCCCTTTTCTTTGGATTGAATTCAAGAGAATTCGGTCATACATGACCGAATTCTACTCATTTACAACCGAATTTACCCCTAAATATGCCATGTGGTGCCACTTGATTGAGTAGGTTAACTTCCCAAAGAGATAATTGTGTTTACCAACGTAAACATCACCTCACCTCCTCAAGTTTTCTTCATACTTAAGATACATTCAATAGAAAAATCTTCATTTTTACATCCAATAAATAATATTCGCCCTAAAACTCTCTCAAGTATCAAACCCATCTTCCTTTTTCATTCAAGCACAAACAACTCCAGAAGATCAAATTGCTTCCATATATCTATAAGTTTGGTAAGTTCCTATGGAATTCTTGTGTTTTCACAACCAACTTATGCTTATTATCATCTTAATCACATATATATATATATATATATATATATGTGTGTGTGTGTGTGTGTATAAACATTAGGATACGATTATCACTTAATGTATCACCTAGAAGAAACACCGTTTCAATCCCGTTATCACACTCGAGGTGAGTTCATACCCCCATATTTTTTTCCAAGCTTTTTCAATGTTTTTAGAGGGGGGGGGGGGGGAATACAAGTAAAACATAAGAAATTTGTGTTTAAAAATATAACTTACTTATTATGTTTTTCTTACCATTACTATGTATTTAAACGTGAAACTTGTTAAAACATGGAAATAAACTTGTAAACTATAATAGGTATAGTTTATGGAATGAAGGGATATTTTTACAAAATTACATGTTATTTACTAAAAGGTTTTTTACTTTATAAAAACTAGTTAATACAGGATTGTGAACCGCTTGATGTATAAAATATGGTACCCGTTAGAATCCTAATTATAACCAGAGTCTCCTTAAAGGAGAGCGTGAGTTTGTATATAGATCTATACGGGACTGACTATGTATTAGTATGGTTATAATGAATATTCACAATAAGTATTAACTAATTATTTACATAAAGATGTACTTTTTTTTAAACAGTCTCGAGGGATACTAACTATGTGATTACTCAGTATATACAATAGGGTTAGATAAAATTGAAATCCGGTAGACAGTGGAATGTATGACTTCCACCTTACTTCCTGTTCCTTGTTTGGTTGTGGGCTTAGGGCAGATTCACACATTCAACTGTCCGTTCGATATTAGGTTATATATAGCTAGTATAAACTAAGTATATATAGAAGGGACTATTGTGGTTACCATTTTACCAGGAAAATATAGGATTTTCTGAAGGAAACATATTCATTATATCTAAAAGAATCATTAATGTTAATTTTATGATTACTTGGTGAATAAACTAGAGTTATATGTAATGAAGATCCGGCAGACAGTGGCATGCGTGACTTCCGCCTTACTTCCTGTTCCTTGTTTGGTTGTGGGCTAAGGGTAGATCCACACATTCAACTGTCTATTCGATCTGTATTATATATAATTTGTATTCACTAAATGATCATAGAAGGAACGAGCACGGTCATATTACTCATTAAGAAAATATAGGATTTTTTGGAGGAACAGGCGAACTTTTCCAAAGAACTAAGAGTATACTTTTTATAACAAAAATACTTATGAACTCACCAACTTTAATGTTGACACTTTTTCAAACCACTTGTATTCTCAGGATCGTTAGTAGACAGGTACTCTCTCAGGTGTTGCGAAGACGGAGCGTTATGTCTTATCTTTTGTTATAATGTAAATCATGAAATGTTTTGAACATAATGTAAACTTTATATTATTAATACGATGGTTGTTGTTACTTTGATTACTATGATGCATGTGTTGTGATACTTAGCATGTCGTCCTCTGCCCCCGAACGTTTCCGACGTTCCGGTTTGGGGGTGTGACAGATTGGTATCAGAGCATTGTTTATAGTGAACTAAGTATATCAACCTATAAAAGATATACAACTATAAATATAATGGGACTAAAACACTCTGACCAAGAATTATACTTTAAAATATAACAATATTTTATAAAAGTATATATATACTAGAACAAGTGTCACAAGAAGAACAAAACAAAAGTATTTAGATGTTGGACACTACAGTCAAACCTAGACAGTTATGTAATCATATCTGGCATAAATATAGCCTGATCAACTATATCTATTTGAGATACGACCAACACGTGTTTGGGAGTGATAGTGGTGTTGCAACAAGTCTAAAACTTACCAACCATATATACAAAGAAATGTTAGAACAAAACATAAAGTTTAAAATATTATAGGAGTATTTTAAGTACTATAACTAACTTATGTGAAAACTAAAAGACCTTTACTGGTAAGGCTATAATTACCGAGTGTAAACATTAAGGTTATATATAATTGAG